CGGGCCAAGAAAAGAGCAGGGCAACACGAGGAACCAGAAAGACCCAAAGGTGGCAACAAAAGAGCGCCCCAGGAAAAGACCCAAAAGTGGCGAGAGAAAAAAGCGCGGCAGCAAACATAAAGAGAAACACCCAAAGCATCCGGAGATGATCTGCCAGAGTAGCAGCGGGGCCCGCCGCGCTCGCACTGCGGGACAGCGCCCCGCGATAAGCGCCATATATGTCCGAGCGCCTCACGGGCAACAGGCAGCTGAAGAAGGGAGGCGACAAGGGCGAAGAACAGCACCACGCGCCACGCGCTGCGCGGCATCCCCACGCGCCGCGGCCTGCAATGTAACAGCGCCGCGCGCTGCGCGATGGAACGGCGCCACGCGCCGAGGGGGGCCTTGCTTTTTCCTCGACGCGCGGCAGGCGGCCGCCAGCCGGTGGCGTCGCCGCCCGCGCCTTTGAAGCGCCAGCGATAACGCGCGGCACCGCGGCGGCAACAGCTGGCGGGCGCCGTCACCAGACACGCGGGAACACGACCAGCCCGAGCTCGCGCGCCAACTTTGCGGCCCCTCCACCGCAGCGCTCCGCGCGGGCGCCGAACGCCCGAAGGCGGGCGGCCAGGTCCGCGGGCGGAAGTCGAGGACTGGATCGCGGATTCCCATGGGGTCGCCCGAACCCGCGGCCCCCGAGAGCACGGCGCGACGCGCAAGTGGAGCCAGAGCCCGCCCATGTAGGCAGCGTCTTGACACCCCGGGTCGACGATGACGCTCTCGCGCATGGCCCGGCCCCGGCACGCCGTCGACGCGGGCGCGTTGGCCCGAGGGGTCTGCAGGCCTACGCGCGTCGCTCCGCGCATGCCCAGATCAAACAGGCTCGACCTCTGCGGCCCGACGAACACCGGCCGCCCCGCGTCCGAGACGTCGACCCCCGCCACGCGCCCCGCCAGTCAGTCGCGGAAAAGGCCCACACTGCACTTGTCAACGCGGACCCGCGCGCCGAAGGGCGAGCGGCGCAGGCGCGCGGGGAGGCTCTCGGCCCCCGCGCGTTCCACCTCCCCTTCGTCACGAGTGTCGACGGCCACGCGCACGATCGCCCCCGAATGCTTCACCAGCTTCCGCCGAGGTTGAGGCGCCCCAGCAAACAAAGTCGCACGCCAAAATGCAGCCGGAACAGCCAGCGCGCGCCGCCAGCGGCGCCCGGGTTCACCTGGCCAAGCAACTTCGCGCCCAGGTCCGCCGGCGGCGGGGGCGAGGACGCTTCGGCGGCCTGGGCGAGGTAGAGGACCTGCCCCATGTCCGGGCGTCTCTCGTTGCGCGCATCATGATCCAACGAGCCACTGCGCCCCAGCGCCCCGCGGGCACGTGCCCCTTCCGGAACCGCTCCTCAGTCAGTCCAGGGTCGCCAGTCAACAGCTGGATGCGTTCCCACGCGTCGGCGACGCCGACGGGCGCCTCGCCCTTGTCGGCTCGCGCGCGAAGGTCGTGGGCTCCGCGAGGCACGGGCCCTCGAAGCGGCCGGCAGCCTCGAGCTCGAAGCACAGGGACGCGTCGCAGCAGGACTTCCATGACCTGCCAGCGCTCGACGGGCGGCTCCTCTCCCCCGCTGTCGGCGGCCGCCATCTGCCGCAGGTCAGACAGCAAGGGCCCCCCGCAACCCGTGGGCTTCAGTCACAGGAAGTCCTCGAAGTGAACCACGATGGACGCGCAGCCAAAAGTCAAAAAGTTTCTTGCAGCTCGCCTCCTGCAGATTGCACTGGGCACGCCGGGCCTGGGAGGCGCGATGCAGGAGCGCGTTGTAGACGCTCGGTGGCGCCATGCTGAGCTCCTCGATCGCAAATAGCCCCAGGCCCACCCAGATGATCTGGAGACGCGCGCGCATGTCGGCGTCGGGAATCACCTCGCGGCCCCGGCGCACCCCGAAATCCATCTGCGCCGCCCGGTGGCAAGTGGTCGCCGCATGGGTTTCCGCGGAGATGCCCTCGGCCTGGGACCATTTGGCACAAGCGATCAGCGCGGATATGACCCAGAAGAGGAAACCCATGGCGGGCAGAATGACCTGCTGGACGATCGCCGTCCTGCCAGGGGCCCACTGGCCCATGAGCAACATCTGGAACGTCCAGGGCGACTCCACGGGGCCCCGCCCTGCTCGTCGCCCCAAACGGCGCCGCAGGCATTCGCGAACGCTGTCACGAACAACGTCTGGCCCCTCTTCAGCGCGCGGGCAAATCCATTCCCAGCGGCAGAATCAAAAAGGGGCCAACCCTCGAATTTCTTCGCGAGGCGCGCCACGCAGTCGCTCAGGCGGCGCCAGGTGTCCTCGGGGATATGCCTTGCGCCCCAGGCGACGCCGCGCGGCATTCTCGTCAGGGCGGGCCTGCGGGCCCGAAGGGCCACCGCATGCTTCCACGGCGGGAGCGACGGGCAGTCCGCCTCCAGCTGCGCCTCGGAGCTCTTGGACATTCAGAATTTCCGTTGCGCCTGCACCTGCTCCTTCCAAACCTTGCCGCCCGGGTCAAACAGGGCCTCGTAGCGGTTATAACGGTTCTCTCTGACGCGCGTCGCCCGCTGGTCGGCGCCACCTCGGCGGCGCTCAGGCGGAAGCAGGACTCCGCTCTCCATGACCGGCGCCTGCATCAGGTGCTTCTGCAAAACCCTGAACCCGCTCGGCCGCGGCGAGGGCGAGCGCCTTCCGCAACCAGTCGGCATTGAGATGACGGACGATGCGCGCGTCTGCGACTAGCGATGCCAAGCCGGCCTAAGCGCGCAAGGCAGCAGCTCCAACATGCCCGTCAGCCTCGCCGTCGTCCTCGCCCCCATGGCCTACGGCGACTTCAGGGAAAGCGACCGCGTCGTCTGCCTCCCTCTTTTGCCTGGGCTCCGTGCGCGCTTTAGCAATGCACGCGAAGTTGGCAAACGTTTGCATCGTAACGAACGCGGCGTAGTCCTTGACCGAGGACACGAGCAGATGCGACTCCTCGGAACGCGCCTCGTCGGCGGAGATCTTTTCCTTTTCCGCGACGATCCTCGCCAGTCGTCCCCGCACCGCAACTGTGTGCCACAGGCTCCTGACGGGAGTGGCTCGGCGCGCCTTGCGCTGCGCCTCGGCCGCCGCCGCCTTCTGCTCGGCGAGGAACATTTCCCAGCCGCGCAAGCCTCAGGGCTGCTAGGGCCCATGTTCTACGCGTGCCAGGGTTCCTGGTCGTCGGGCGCAGCGCAGAGCTCCATGCACGCTCGCAGCAGGCGCAAGTCCCGCGTCTCATCGTCCTCGGGCGGCGACATGAATACAGGGCGGAGGAGGATGGCTTGCAGCATGCAGGTCTGCAGGGAGCCGCGAACGCCGTCAAGTCTCGGCAGAGCTGCGTGGACCTCCACTCCGTTGGACCGTCCCGGAGCCCACGAAAATGGCGAGATTTGCGCGGATCGCAACCCCGCAGGGAGCCGCGAGGTCTCGGCAGAGCTGCGTGGACCTCCACTCCGCTGGACCTCCCAGGAGCCCACTAAAATGGCGACAGTTGAGAGGTTCGCAGCCCCGCAGCGCAAGCAGGAGGGAGGAGAGAAGGCAGGAGGAGGAAGAGGAGGAAGAGGAGAGAGGAGAGGCGGGGAGGAGAGAGGACGGAGCAAGCAGTGCTCCATTCCACACGAGAATCCAACACAGGAGGGTTGGGAAAAACGGGGGGGCGGCGGTGACTCGCCGCGGGCGCCCGCGATAGAGAAGGGCGGCACGAGCTGCGAGCTGTCGGTAGAGCTGAACGAAGGAGCCGAACTCTATACACCGATGCTTTTTCCGGCCCCGCACTGAAACTCGCACAGGAAAACGGATCCTGGTGTACACGGGATCCTGGTGTGTGCATGTTCCGCTGCTTCCCCGGGAAAGCGGGGAAACAGTATATACACCACACCACCCCGATGTCGTCCCCGACCCTACACAAATCCTGGGATTGACAGACAGCCCGCCACTGGGAATGCATACAGGGCAGTTTTTAATACATAGGATGTTTAAAAATCTGGGATATTTAATACATGATTAAGATATGAATGGGGGTCCCGGGGGGGGTCCCGGGGGGGGTCCCGGGGGGGTCCCGGGGGGGGTCACGGGGGGGGTGGGGGGGCAGATTCGTTTTTCCTCGGGCGGCCTAGAAACCTCAAAACCCTCCAAATGAGGTCCGAATGCCCCAGATGGCCCCCGAGACGGCCCAAGAGGGCCCCGAGTCGCCCAAAGATCGGCCAAAAACGCCCAAGATAGCCCCAAGACCGTCCAAGAAGCCTCCAAGACGTCCCAGGCCCCCTCCAAGAGACCCACAGGAAGCCCCAAGAGGCCCCCACGAGGCTTCCAAGCGGCCCCTAAGAGCTTCCCAAGAGCCCCACAAACTACTCCCAAGAGGCCCCCAAGAGCGCTCGTCGTCGTCGTCGTCGTCGTCGTCGTCGTCGTCGTCGTCGTCGTCGTCGTCGTCGTCGTCGTCGTCGTCGTCGTCGCCATTCAGGGTCGGCGGCACCGGCCGTAAGGCCTTCGCAATACATGATTAATACATGAATAGATTCATGCATGAACTCAGCATTGTTTTTAATACTAAATCCCTGCATTGTATGCTCCAGCTTCCGACGAACGGGGCCAACACACGCTGGGCGCTGGGCCCACGCACGCCCCAGGGGATCGTCGGGCGCAGCTCCTCCCGCCCTCCCGCCTCAGAGACCTCTCCCCGGCCCGCCGTGCCCAGAGGGCCCTCGGCCCCGCGCGCGCGCCGCGAGGCACGCCTGCGAGGCCCGAGCGGCTCTGGGTTAGGTCTGGCATGTCCCCGTCCCCCGGATTTTGGACGAAAACTGTTTTATATATATATATATATATATATATATATATACATATATGTGTGTGTGATCATTCACTTATATATATATATATATATATATATATACGAACAAACAAAAAACGCCCCCAGACTGCTAGGTTTGACTGCTTTGGGATACTCCTCCTGGAGAGGAACGCGCCCGACGTCAGCTTGAAGGGGCCCCCGCGCCGCCTCGAGGTGCTGGCGGGGTCGATGCTGATGCGGCTCTGGCTGCCCGGGCGGAAGGGCCTAGGCGCGCAGGCGGGTAAGCTCCGGGCCGCGTCGCCGCTCTGGGGCGGCGTGACGCGCACGTTCGGGCGCTGCTAGAGGTGCCCCAGGCACCCTTACTCCAAATCCCTTCTTCTTAATCGACCCCCCCCTAAAAACCGGACCCCCACTCCTCCAAACGCGACCGAATATTCCGGACCCCCCCTCTTCGACGGGGCGCCTTCATAAACCGGACCCCCTAAGCTCCAATCCAACGAAAGCGCCCCAATAATCTGGACCCCTCCATTACAAAAAAGGCGCCTTAAACAACCGTACTCGGGGGACGATTAATGAGGGATTCGGAGTAGGTCGGGCATGTCCCCCTACAGGCGGATTTGGGCGAAAAAAACAAAAATATGCAAAAATGGCACACACACACACACACACACACACACACACACTCACACACACACACACACAACAACAAAAAAAAAAAAAAAAAAAAATGTCGAAAGATCGTCCCCATACGATTTTGGAACTATTTTTGAATATTCCTCCTGTCGAGGGACAGGCCCGACTTAAGGGTACCCCCAGGATTCTCGGGGTGGCCCAAACGGCCTCCAGAGCACCCCTCACGAGGCCAGGAGGGGCCCCAGGGGCTCCAAAGTGAAGCGAAGTGCTGGGGGCACCCTGGGCCAGGGGCACTTCCTAGCCGCACCCGACATGTAGGTGGGGACCCTCACCTCCGAGGCATCGCCGTTCAGCCACCCTGCCCGCGCGATGATCGTGCCCGCCCACTCGCCGCACATCAGCGGAGCGAAGTCGACCATCAGGTCCGCGCTCTGCCCGGGGCTGAGCTTCACGTCCCGCAGGGGCAGCCGGAGGGGGCCCCCGTCCTGCACGTCGAGCTCCAGGTGGGCCAGCTGCAGGCCCCGGTTGGTCACCACGAGCCGGAAGCGCTTCGCCGCTCCCCCGAGCTCGGAGGTGCCCATGTCGAGGATGGGGCCATCGAACTCCTCCCAGGTGTGCTTGCCTCGGGGCGGCAAGAGCCGGAATCGGACTCGTCCCCCTCTTCGGTGGGGACAGGGGGGCGAATCTCGACGCCCCATGATCGTTCCCCTGCACGCCCCGACGCGCCGCTGACAGAGCGGCAGACGGCATCTTGAGGGGTCTCAAAACCGTGTGGTGACAGACCCGGCAGTGACCTCGAAAGCCGCAAAGACCTCACCGCAAGGTCTGTCACCACACGGTTCTGGGACCGCGCCACAGACCCAAACCCCCGACGTCGTACCTTTTTCTCTCACAACTAACGGCGATGTTGGGAACATGGTCTTTGTCACACTGACCTCGCGCAGAACAAGCTGTAAGAAACCACGCTCCACCCTTTCCTACTTGTTCAATACGCGACTGCATCTAGCAAGAAAAACACGGTGAATTGTAGGAAAACACGAGCCACGCCTTCCTACACTTGGAGTTCTGAGCTGCGTCTACATCTTGGAGCCGGGGGGGGCTGTGAAGGGGCATGCCACTCATTGACAAAACCTTGTCCCGATTTGCGGCCGCCGCGATCGCCGCGGCGAACTCCAAAACCGACCCCGAGCTGTTGGTTCGGGGTCGGCAACCACGCAACGAAACCCCCAGAGGTTTACTAGGGGATCGATATCTCGTCCATGCCCCTGCTCCTCCCCCCCCCCCCGAGGAGCCACAGCGGGGGCCCAGGTCAAAATCTGGTCTCTGGCGCCGCGCTTCTTATCCATACCCTGCTTCCCATGGCGCCCAGAGTGAGGGGGCAGCAGCAGAGATATGAACCGAACGCCGATCATCGATTTAGACCCTGATGGGCCTGCTTTCCACCACCACCACCATAAGTTGGAGGGGGGGGGGACCCTCCTCCTCCTCCTCCCTCCTCCTCCTCCTCCTCCTCCTCCTCCTCCTCCGCCTCCTCCTCCTCCTCCTCCTCCTCCTCCTCCTATTCGTCCTCCTCCTTCTTCCCCCCTCCAATTTATGGTGGTGGTGGTGGTGGAAAACAGGCCCATCAGGCCCCTTCCCAGGGCCGGTCTTTCATCCCGAGTCGTTGTTGACGGCCCAGGGGCCCGACGAAGGTCCCCGGATGCCGAAAGTTACTCAAAACGTTGGGTCGCAGTTGTTTCGCAACGCGAGCAGCTCCTGGGAAGCGACACCGCTACTCTACATGGGGGGATTCTGGACGAAAGAACAATTCGTCAAAAAATGCTCCGAAATGGTCAAAAAATCATCCCCTGACTATCTTTGACTATTTTTGAATATTCCTCCTGTAGAGGGACAGGCCCGACTTAACGCTACTCCCCGAATCTCTCTCCAGGGGTGCGGTCCGACTAAGACCTCGAGGCGGATCTGGCCGCGGTGGCGACGGCAAGGCAGCGGCATCGGCGCCTTTCCCCCCCCTCTGTGCCAGAGATCGGCGGTGGACAAACCTCCCTCTAGTGAAAACGGCCTAGGACCGAAA